CTCCTTCAAGGAGCAGAAGCAGAAGCTGGAGTGTTTGGGTGAAAATCCAGAAGCACTTCTGGAGCTCTAATTTACTCTCAGAATCAGTTTTTTTAGAAGCTGGGGGGGGTACCAGCTTCTGAAAACTGATTCTGCTTCTGCTTTTAAAATAGAAGCAGAAGCAAAATCAGTTCCAAACACCCCTTAGTTGGATTTGATCAATTGGTTTCAGTCGGTTTCATTTTTTCGTTTTTTTGTTCACCACTAGTCCTTATCATACCTATTGAACCATTCTACAAAATTCAAACATCTAAAAACATTTCAAATATGATTTTTTTTTACTAAATACTAACATATCATAATGAAAACAAAAATGCACAATATATAATAAAAAGTAACAAAGATTTATAAGAGACCTTGTTAAAACCACAAAGAAATTAAATTAAATTATAAAGTTAGTATGTTAAGACTCTGTTTGATAACACTGAAATCGATCGAATCGGTTGATTTGGTTGAAAATTATGAAGTTTTGATGTAAAAGGCTGATTCTGCTGATTTATGAAGAAAAAAAATTTAAATATATTTTATTAATACAATGAAAAAAATATAAAAATAGTTAAATTGGTCATCTACAGTAGCTTCAATTAATGCAGCCAAAGAAGTAATTTTAACTTTATTTATTTTGACTATTATACAATTAAGCGCACAAAATCATAATTTACGTATTTGGTTAAAAGGTTGACTAATAAGGCATATAAGTCAAAAAATTGGGCCACCGAACAGGCTCTACATGTATACAAAGTCTGCTTATTTTTGTATGCTAGTAGCTAGTTTAATGAGACTAGCAATAAATAAAAAGTGATAATATTGTAGTAGATAAAATTAGAATTGAGGGCGGTTTGACACAGAAAAAGAAAGTTTTTTTCCATGAATATTACTACGTATTAAATCAAATTCAAAAGACACAAACATGACTTGTTTTGAAATTTTCCAAAAAAAATGATAAATTTGGTAACTAGTTTCTAGTGACTCGTCATTTACTAGTAACTTGTCACTCTGAAATACATTATAATGACATTTGTATAATATTTCGTGCATAATGACTAGTCATATTTTTGTTTAAAACATAACTAATCATATTTTTGTTCAGTAAAACTTTGTTAGTGATGTGCATGTCATTTTTTAGAAAAATAATACTCCGTATCCTATGTTAGAACTTAGAACATGATAATCATTTTCAGACACGCTTTTCGATATTTTTATCCAACACTACTTTTTTCTCTCGTATTAATTAATTTTATCCATGTTCAGTCATTGGCAAATCACAGAACCCATATTTCAATTGAGCACATGCCACCGTTTCTTTGTCAGATTGTAATTTTGGCGGGTGTTTCTGCTAACTTTTTAGTAAAGAGTCTTCACTTTCAATTACGATAGTATTATTTGTAACACCGCTCCCAATTTAAACTTGGATTTATTAATCCATTGGTATTAAAATCTGAGTGAAAGTACAAATACTGATTTCAACAAGGAAAATTAGTTAAAGTCATGATTAGATATTCACTTTGAAAACTAGTTACATGTATATTAATCATACTAGAAATGATTAATTGATTAAATTAATACCGATTTATTAAATTGTGGGTCGGACCCCAAACATGGGGAGATACTAACTAATATATTCTTGGACATAGATAAATTAAATAAAAAGCCCAAGGATAAGGAAGTAAGTAAAATATAATGGTTTGGGCCTAATAAAAGGTAAAGAAATAAGACGAGAGACTACTTGAGTCCACTTACTAAATAATAGAAATGTATAGGGGTTTGAGCCCGGGATATTGGAGGGGACTATCCAATACATTTTAGGACCGACCTACTATGGTCTACTAGCCAAAAATGATATAAATAAATGAATGAAAGTCGTTAGGCCCAACCGAGATATATCAAGTAACCAAAATGGCGTTCTAGCCCATATTGCCGAAAATAGCACGTATAAGGCTGAAGGGTTTCCTACACTTTAATTCGGGGTATTCCGTATAAAGTGTAGACCATAATCAACGGGAGGATTAATTTGTAAATAGCTTCGGACCGGATTAATTAAAAGGAAACAGCCCGTGAACCGAACCCAAATAAAACCGGCCCAACCTTCTAATTATAGAAGGGATAAGGGATGGTCTCATCCTCTCATTCCTTAGAAGTGTCTTACGACACATAGGGAGGGAAGAGAGCTCAACCAAGTGCCTTCAACAATCAGGGAGTAAGGGAGTCCAAAGGTGAAGGAAATCCGATAGAAAACGAAGCCTAGCGGTAAGAACCTCGTAACTCCGGTTCTTATTCTTCCGTTTAATATATTTTCCGTATATGATTTTATAGAAATTATATGATGGATTATAGGGGATGTTTTACACATTTAAAAGTGTAGAAATATGATATAAAGTGTTGGTAATTAACTTAGAAGAGTTGTGGAATCGATAGGAATCGAAATCGCCGGAAACCGCCACTTCTAGGTGCTGTTTTCGTGCAGCAGAACCCGAAAGCCGGGCAGCTTTTGCAAAAGCCGGGCGGCTTTTGTCCTCTGCCAGCCAAGGTGGATTCAGATCATTCCCGATCGAAGGTTTAACGACGGGGCTTCAATAGGCAACCTTGCTGGACTTATTTAAGGTGAGGATGGCTGACTATATTGTCTATAACTCGTGAGTTGAGCATGAGATTACCTAAGTAATCAAATTATGATTTTGATGGAATTAAATGATATACTCCAATGTGAATAAATGTGTTGCTATGTGGTCATATAAATTGATACATGATATTACAAAGGTGAATAAGCAAAGGCATTATGCATGAGGGGAGAAATCCTTGAAATATATTAATTATTGAATTGATATAGAGGATTAGCATGATATAGACAAATGTTGATAAATGTGTGATTCCATAAGATCTTAAAAGGGATATATGGATACCTATGTGGATAGGCAAAATGATTACAAAAAAACTATTTGTACACACTATTGTACCCACTTTTGTACCCACTATGTCTGTGAGGAGTTCTTTTTTTGTCTGTGAATCCCGCTCATAGACAAAAATATGTCTATGAAGACATGGTGGGTACAAAAGTGGGTACAATAGTGGGTACAAGAAGAAGGGTTGAAATGATTAAATGTGAAGTAAGGAATACTTGAGTTATTGACATGATCAAAGTGATATGAATCCGTAGTGATTAATTGTATGTGCTATCTATAGTATTGAATTAGATAGGCATGAACTTAGAATGAGTGATGGACTATGGTCACACTCAAAGGAAATGGTGGAGTCTACCTAGACTATATGAAGGCAGCCCGGGGAGTCTTGATGAAGACTAGCCCGAGGTTGATAGATTATGATTGCTCGTGTACAATGAGTATACGGGGATATATATACGGGGTGTGTAAGCCCTAACGAGATAAAGGATATTACGCGGGGTGTGTAAGCCCTACACGAATAAAGTATTACGCGGGGTGTGTAAGCCCTAATGAATAAAGCATTACGCGGGGTGTGTAAGCCCTAATGAATGAAGTATTATACGGGGTGTGTAAGCCCTACATGATAAAGTATTACGCGGGGTGTGTAAGCCCTAAATGAGTAAAGTATTACGCGGGGTGTGTAAGCCCTAAATGAGTAAAGTATTACGCGGGGTGTGTAAGCCCTAAATGAGTAAAGTATTATACGGGGTGTGTAAGCCCTACACAAACTAAGAATATACGGGGTGTGTAAGCCCTAAATGAATCAAAGATATAATGCTGGGGGTGTAAGCCCAAAATGAATGAATACACCCGTAGGGTGGGTAAGTCCAACGTGGACGAGTACAAATGATAAATTGTGTAACCCTCTCGATGGAGTTGGGTTTAGACTAGGGGTGGGATAACCTCTCGATATTGTTATATGCAAGAATAGGCCAAGGGCTGTACAAGGGGAATTGTTTTGAAATACAAATGGACCTACGGGTCGGCTATTTGACTTGGTATATATATTCTATACAAGTGATTTGAAATGGGGTAGCTGTAGGTTATGCCCATAATATAGTATCACCCTATTTTGAGGGTCTTGTGTTTGAAACATGAATTATATTCAGTATAGTTGTCATTGTACTTGTCAAATGCTTCCAAGTACTGACCTCCCCTTCACGGGGGAGGCCACCTCACAGTTTCAGGTAGAAGCTAGAGCTTGCTTCCTGTTCCCGTTGCTTCGGGTGATCCATGGAGAGAAGACGTGGTTCATGCTTCTTCCAGTTCTATTTTGATATAAATAAAATAATGCTCATGGACTATTTTTAAATTATAAATGATTTGGGAGCCTGCGTGCTCATGTTCGCCCTGTGTGGCCTTTTACTTTTAAAAGTATTTGTATTCCGCTGCGTATATTTGAAATGCTTTATTTATGATTATTTATGGATGTACTTGTGTGAATGGTATTCATGTACGCCTTGCATGGTTCGAGTAGGGTGAACTGCGGTTGCCTTAATCGGATTATGCGGCGGTTGTTAGCGCGTCCGGCCAGACCGGGGCGTGACATTATTATAAAGGGAAAGGGGCACATAAATTCTCGAACTAACAAAAAAAGTGCAAATAACTCCTTATATAGTAGGTTTTGTTTGACCGTCGTCATTTGGGGCGGTTCCCGGTAGAATTTTTTGATGAAATTTTTTGAGCATCTTCTTCAGTAAGTCTAGTTTATCCATATCAAATTTCAGCTAAAAATTCAACCAGGAAGACATTCAAATGATTTCCTGAGATATATTACGCTGTTTAAATGCACAGTTATCTTCAAAAATTCATTTGACTGCCTTCCCGATTGAATTTTTAGCTGAAATTTGGTAAGCGTAAACTAGACTTAATGAATAAGATGCTCAAAAAATTTCATCAAAAAATTCCACAGGGAACCTCCCCAAATGGCGACGTCCGGATAGAGCTTCCTATATAAGGGGTGATTTGCACTTTTTTTGGTTAGTTCGAGAGCTTATTTGCCCCTTTTCCCTATTATAAATGTTTATTGTTTGTAAAAAAACTCACATCTCATTAATATTTATTCATATTATGTACTTCAAAATGAAAAATAATACAACATATAATAAAAAAAGAGGTATTTTTTTAAAGCTCCAGGTTGAAGCTTCCTTAGGTTCCTTTAAACCTCTTTTTCAGTTAAGCCATACAGAAACGTAGTAGGATTTGAAGTAGGAGTTGTAAAATGGTGACTACATATGCTATGCCTTATGACTTGAAAGGTGTAGTCAGTACTCAGTTAGGCCAACACTCCACCATGAAGAGGCTGTCTGGTCCTCAATGGAAAACCCCAAATTGCACAAACTTGCTATACTTTGGTGTCCATGATCTTCTTCAAGTCTTGGGAGCAGGCAAGATGGCTGGAAAATGCTGATCAGGCTTTCACCTTCATCCTGAGAGAAATCAGACTCCAATATGTGTGATGAGGAGTAGTTCCCATCAGTGTAATGTGGACTTTCTGAATCAAGAATATCACTTTTAACCCAGCTTGCATTTTCATCCTTGCACACCACTGGAGATCTCTCTCCCTTTGGGGAGATCAAACTAGCACAATGCTCTATGTGAGGTTCATTGTCATCATTATATGTGCTGGTTTTATGGGTTGGTTCGAATTTTGCGCTGCACTGTTGTTCCTGAATGAGCAATTTATCTCTTAGCAGCTGAACCTATAAAACATGAAAGAGAGTGTCAAGAACATGTTAAGCTTTTGAGTTTAACTAGAATGCTGCATCCCAAACACACCCTTACCCTCCTTTAGACATAACCAACAATTTGCAAGTAAATCAATAAAGAGCAAAAGTCGACGGGATGATCTTACCTATATAATTTGCTACATGTAACACATTTGTATAATAGATCTTAGAAACTAACGCGCAATTGTGGTCACCGCCAAACGCAATACTGACATGTAACACGTTTGTATAATAGATTCTCCGAGTATCTCTTTCGCCACATGTAATACATTTGTATAATAGATCTTAGAAACTAAGGTATAAGATATTGTGCTACACCCTAAGTAGGTTATTCCTTCTATCATCTCGTAGGATGAACTCAAATGTCAATCTAATCTGTAGCCACTTTGTTGGTCTCATACAAAAAGTGCATGTTTCAGATAAAAGGGTGTTGAGACATATTCCCTTATGAGATAAAATTTTGTACTACTCCTATCATATTGACTTTTGAACCCGGTTTATCTGATGATTAAGTGTGGGATGGAAGACAGGATGATCCTCAACTAATGTGAGGTCGAAGTGAGGGGATTAAGAATCTTTTGATTGTTAGATCTTAAATCAGGACGGGTGTCCAACAAGCAGAGGATGGTAATGGTTTTACCTCATTCTTTAGATTTTCGTTCTCCTCGGAGAGGAAATCATAATCAGCTTTCAGTTTATCAAAGCTAGCTTTCAGGGAATCATAGTCCTTCTCAATCAGTTTGACCTTCGAACGGGCTCTCCGGTTCTGGAACCAAATTGCAACTTGTCTAGGCTGCAGGCCGAGTTCTTTAGCTAACTGCAACTTCTTCTCTGGCTCAAGCTTGCTTTCCACCTCAAATATCCTCTCCAGAAAACGGACCTGATCTCCTGCAAGTCGCCGTTTCTTCTCGGGCCGATGAAAGCAACCTTCATACTCCTCAATGCCATTATCTTCTTTGTCCATTGGTGTTAACAGTGGCTGCTCTTTCACTATTTCTAGTTCTGATTCTTCAAAGTCCACTGGTGATGCACAGCCTAAAACACAGAATTATCAAACAGATAAGTCACCCCCTTAGAGCAACTCATATAGTACAAAAATACAAACTCACATATATGACAGCAGAATCCTTCCATGACCACAAAAAGAGCATACAATTGCCTCCTTTAAGAAATGTTTGGGAATCTCTAAAAGAAATATTAGCATTAAAAAGTGTGGTTTCCCTTTTCTTGCTAATAGGAATAGAACATTATTGTTCTCATTAATCTAGTCTCTTTACTCCTGCCACTTCAGCACAGAAAGTGAAACTTCAACCATTAACTTGGAATCTACGCATAAACCCAATTCTGAATAAAACTAAAAATACCCCAAACATCTCTACCCACACTGCAAATATAGAAAACCCCTAAAGTGAGAAGTATATCCTAGGAAAGGACTTGAAACTTGAAGAGTGAAAACCACCCATATAAGGAATGCAAACAAATGATTACAAAAGGTCAAACCTTTGGCATTTTGGGTGGGTGTAAGATTAAAATTACCATTGAGAGAAGGGTGGTTTTGAGGGTTTGAAATCCAAACAGCTTCTATAACACCAGTAGTATCAAATGCATTAATGCTTCCACTATCCATATCTTGAGTTCTTTGTTGACAATTTAGTCTTCTCCTTACAGAAGAGAGCAGAGGCTTATAGAGAGAGAGGAAATGAAGTTAAATCAGTATGGGTGGGTGTACTGTACTGCTAGAAACTATACAGTATAGACATGAATGCAGGAAGAGATTGTTCTGTGAAAAGGAAGAAGGCGATGGGGATTAATTAATGATTAAACAAAGCAGCAAAGCCTCGAATTCTGTGATTTATACTTTAAGAGGATGTAGATTGAAGCTACTAGAGTAGTTGAAAATTCATTCACATAAAAAAAGCAACATACATACTTTCGTGGAGATCCACACTGTTAAACTACTGTTAAAGGGTTTTTTTGGGTAAAAAATTTACGAAAGCTAAGAGCCCGTTTGGCAACACTGATTTTTGCCTTATCGGGCTTATCAGCCAACTTTTTAACCAAACATGTAATTTTTGTTTTCGTGCGCTGAATTGTGTAATAAGCACAAAAAATAAGGTTGGAGTTACTTTTCTGACTGTATTGGCTGAAGTTACTGTAGATGACCATTTTAGCTATTTTTACATGTATTTTTTTCATTATTTTATTAATAAAATATATTTTAAAAATATTTTTTCTCTAAATCAGCAGAAACAGCCAATGCAGCCACTTCAGCCAAAACGTCATAAATTTTAGCATAATCGGCCAAAACAACCGATTTTCATGCTACCAAACGGGCTCTAAGACCAGATTGTAATTAAACCTGATCGATTAATATATCATGCTTGTTTGTATCTTTGATTTTGTCTACTTTTCCTTTTTTAATTATTCCATTAATTTAGTCACTTTCTCTTTTAAGTGTGATTCATATTGGAGTATTATTTTCTCTACTGAGTACAATTTTTATTTTATTACTTCATCCATCTCACTAATTATCCTCATCTTTATTTTTTCGTCCGTTTCATTAGGATTAACTCATACAAAATTTTATAAAATTTGTGTGATTCTAAATCACTTTTATTTTATTATTACTTTATAAAACACTCTTTTTTTAATAACCGTGTCACTCTCTCTTGTCTCAATGTTAGTGGGACAGAGGTAATATTTTTTATGACAGTAAAAAAATACGTAGTAGTACACTTTGTTACTCTTCTAATATATCTATTTAATTTTTCTTTATAACTTTAATTTCTATTTATTATGAGTCTAGTCTAATTAGTTTTCACATATATAAAACTAACTAGACTTTATAGACGTATTTTAACTACTAAAAGAGCATCTCCTTTGCTACAACGTGCACGGTGCACATGTGACATGAGAAAGATAGACACAAAAGATTGAATTATGATATTTATCTCTCCTTTCCACGGTCTTATGTGTTTTTGGTAAGTTTTTATCAACAATGTCAATCACAAAGTCTACGTCTAGACATTGTGCTTGACATTGTGGAAAAAACTTATGAAAAACATATAAGACCGTTCAAAAAAGGAGAGAAATATTATATTTATTGTTTTTAATTAGCTATCTCTCGTGTCACGTATGCACTGTAGAGATGCTCTAAGAAGATGCATACTTTATAATTTAGTTTTTTTAACTGACTTTATAATTTAGTTAAGGTTGTAAGAATGTATCTATTTTGCATTTTAAGGTTTTGTTTGAACGTTAGACTTGAAATAATTATTTTCTTATATTTTTATTTTCATTTTAATCTATTGGCATTAATTAAAGGGATGTTTTTACAAAAATAAAACTTTTTTACAAAAATATGACTAAGAGTTACTACAATGTCGTGTCATGGTAACTTAAATTTAAAAATTGAACATAAGTTACTATGATTTCATTACTACTCTAATCACTAGTCACATTTTCGTAAACAGTCTTTATTTCAATCATATTTGTGTAATTATTAGAAATTGCTGCAAATAGGATCAAAAACCTTCCGAAAGTCATATATACGCCCAATTATAGTTATTTGCTCAAATAAGACCGAACTGGTCTTATTAGGAAACATGCCAAAATCGTCGTTCCCGTTTTACCCCTGAAATATTTTACGCCTCCTTAACCGTTTTTTAATCGCTTACTCTTTTTTTTTTCCTGTCAGTTACGTGCCGGCTTCTTCTCCTTCCTGCATTGTTCTTCTCTGCAAGTCTACGCAAACCTCTGTTTCAGAGTTCCAAATTAAGAGCGATATCTTCAATTCGTCTTCCATACAACAACGTAATTTTCCGGTATGTAAAATCTACGCTAGCGATTACACTTTTTATTGTTCATGTCCCACTTTACAAACAGAATGATTGCTTTGGATTATCTCTGTATTGAATTTCATGATTTAATGTTTACGATATGAATTCTGCATAATTTTTAATTGTTATTATGATCATCATCGTTGATGTTCTTTTTTTCCAATCCTATGCTATTTATTTCGCTTTTTAATCATGACTATCATTCCTATCTTAATGAAATTGTACGGTATTGTCTGAGAAATCGATCACTACTTTAACACTGATTATAATATGAAAAACTTTGTCTGCCATTATATGTATGTTATTGCCACCGTTTTGGCATTATCATTTACATTACATGCCAATTAATTTATGTGTTGTTCATCCCTGATGCACTTGTGTTGTTCTTATGTTTCTTAGTTATCAATATGGATGCTATTATACTGATTATGGTAAAAGTGGACGGGAGTTGGGACATTGAGTATAATTTCAATTGCAATGTCATCTAGGCCATGCAAGTTTGCTTGTCTGCTACATACACAGCTTTCAAGGAACAATTAACATCTATATTTTCTCCTTACAAGCCAAATAAGGACTTCAACTTATCTTACATGGTTGATGGTTGTCCTCCCCCAGTTGTTATTCATGATGAGGATACATTTCGTTTTTTCCTGAATCTTAAGTCTCTTCACAATGATTTTCAGAAATCTCCCTTGTGTGTTGAGTTTCAGCTGACATCGTTTCTTCTTCCACACTTTCTGTTCCACAAACTGTTATATCTGACATTCCTTGTTCATCAAACCACTCTTCTAGTCATATTCATTCTTCCATTTTTACCACGAACTATACTGAAGCAGAATACATTACTGGCAACAATGAAACCAATGTTATTGACACTTTCCAGAGTCATATGAGCAACACATATGTTATATCTCGTAGTCCAACACCAGAAGTTAGCTCTAGTCCGTCACCTTCTTGTTCCACACATAATGAGACATCTTCTGTTCCTCATAATTTGGACCTGATCACTCACTATCACCCAACTTAGATTTTGTTGCATGCTATTTACAAATCCAAAGCAGCTCTTCTTCACCATTTGAGGTTGTATGCCATAGATAATGTTTTCCAATTCAAGACACGCACATCAAGAAAGAAATGCTTACATGTGATTTGTAAGGATTCTAAATGTAAATGGGTTGTGAGGGCTGTTAGACTACACGGTGTCCAAATGTTTCAGACCCGAAGGTATTCCCTCATTATTTTACATGTACTTACCTATTCTGTCATTCAGTTTTATTCCATTATTTTGGCATAATTGCACTACTTGACAGATTCAAATTGTTTTGTATTTTTGTCCTGACAGGTTTAAATCATTACACACATGCTCTATGGATTTCAGGCAAGGCAAACATCGCCAAGCAACATACCGAACTATTGCAAATCTTGTTGCTCATAAATACTTGGATGCTTCAAGAAAGCCTTATACGCCAAACCAAATACGGGAAGACATGCTCCTGAACCATGGAATTTCCATGTCTTACAAGATGGCATGGAGAGCTCAGAAGATAGCTATGCAGAAACAGTTCGGATCAGATTCTGAGTCATACCAAATGCTACCGGCTTTGGCTTACGCTCTTGAAAAGGCAAATCCAGATTCCATGATTTCTCTTATAACTTCAGATGATGATGTCTTCCAATATTTTTTCATGTCTCTGTTACCTTGGAGAGAGGCATGGAAATATTGCAGACCCGTTATAATTGTAGACGGGTCATTTCTGAAGGCCTACTACAAGGGTACGCTTCTCACAGCTTGTGCACAGGATGCAAATGGCCACATTGTCCCCCTAGCCTTTGGTTTACAAGGAGAATAAGGGCTACAATTTATAGCAGCAATAAATGCGATGAGAGTACACGTGTCAGTAATCCAACGGCCGCAGGGTCACATCAATCGGGTGGCACCGGCAGTGGCATGTTCACCGCATTGAATGCGGTGGGTGGATGTGACGTCTCATTAAATGCGGTGGTTGGCTGTCTCCAAAGGGAATCTTCGATGATTGAGCCTGTTTGGCCGAAGGCTCCTCGAATAGACGAAGGCTCCTCGTGTAGCCGAGGGTTCGTGTGGTCGGGGGCTCCTCGTAGCCGAAGGCTCGATTCTTCAACCGAAGGCTTCTCTACTGCCGAAGGCTTCATAGTGCCGAAGGCTCTTATTTTTCTGTTGTTTTCTCCCAGTAGCTTCGTATGCCTAAAAAAGGCTATCCTGTGAGTTTTGGAGCCTTCGGCCAAGGAGGCCGAAGGCACCCCAGTGTGTATTCTGGGCTTCCTTGAACTTGGGCCACTGTATTTGGGCTTCAGATGCTCCCTAGACTCAACGGGCCTTTGTGGGAGAAGTAGGAGTCTATGGGCCCGGGGTTCCTGGGCCATATACTCCATCAAGCTTTTTATTACTCAAAATATTTCACGTCGTATATGTATTACAAAGAATACACAAACTACTCCGTATTATTTTTAAAGTCTCAAAATACAATTATAAATTATGGAAATTATAGAAGTCATCGGGGCCCCCAAAATATAATTTCATGTTTATTTTAATGTGCTGTGACTTTTCTATCTGTACTCCAATTGTTACAAAAAATATATCAAAATTCATCATTTTTATTATCTTTCATATTACACCAATATTGAATATATAAAAACAAAAACAATTTAACACTAAAAAATCCGTTTTTCCAAGTTTTGTTGCATTTTATTTTTTTATATTCAATATTGATGTCATATGAAAGATAATAAAAAATTATAAATTATGACATATTTTTTGTAACAATCAGAATACAAATAAAAAAATTATAGCACTTTAAAATAAATAAGAGATTTTATTTTTTGAATTACATAACTTTATAAATTAAACATTGGTATTACGTATTACGTAGGATTCCAACCTACTCCGTATAACTTTGTTCTAAATTAGCATAACTGCATAAGATCAGTTCGAATGTAACTTGAATGCATGTGACGAAGTATTATTAATATACTAATTTGGAAAGAGAGTCTAGAATATTATATTATGGCAAAAAC